GAGTCACTGACTGAAATCAGCCTAGTTTTCTCATCATATAGTGAGATATACAGGGAAGCGTGCTGCCTACCTTTAGGTATGGTATGACCTTTCAAAGCACTCTGTGTGTGCCTCTGGAAAGGAGGGTACAAACAGCAGCCAACATTAATCATCTGCAGCCCTCATGCTCGCGTCCAAATTAAACACTCCCGATTTTCCAGAGCCAGAGGTAAAATTTTGTGTGTTCTGGTTCCGCTCATTTTAATGCCTTTAGCTGGGGTGCAGAGCTCAATGGAGTCCCCCAAACTCCTTATTATCCCACTGCAGACTGGCTTCGCCCATTTACATTAGGCATATCTGAGCTCGGCAAGCACTTGCGTTTTAGCCAATACTGTTGAATCACCTTAGGCTGCCACGAGAAGGCGGATGCTCACGGAGATTAAATAAGTTGGCAAAAGTACTGGCTAGTCAGTGGCACCATGCCAGACTCAAAATCCAAGCGCTCTGGCTTTCTGTAGGACGCCCTATATTAGTCTCACTTTTTCCTCCTTTTTATCAGAACCTAACATGTTTCTTAAGCTTTAAAAGCTGCACCGTGGCACTTAAAATTTTTCTTCGCACTCCAAGTTTCAAAATATCATTAACAGATTAGGCATTTTACTACACGCTATTCTGGTGTTTGTGCTACTCCCCCGCCTTTCCGCTGCCTTCTAGCTGTTCAGGGAGCCGGTGGGGAGAAGGGGAAGAACACAATTATATAACAGAAAGAAAAAAAAAAACCCTGAAAGATGAATAAGAACGAGTGGGTGGTGGGGTTGCAGGTGGGGACAACCCTTAGAAGAGCCGAGGAGAAGGGAAACATGAGACATCAGGTAGATTCTCCCTGGGGCTCATCGGGCCAATGCTACAAAACTGTAAAGCTGGCAAAGCTAACCTTAGAACCGGTTCTGACTTCCATTCCATTTTATTGATAAACACAGCACTTTATAGTCTTTCTCTGTTCACCCCAGACTGAACACAGCTCACCAGACACCACGGGCTTGGGGTTTTCTTTTCTAAACTTCAACAGTTTCATGGGGGTACAAAAACCCGAATGCATGGATTAACATTCCTACCAGAAGCCAAAGATTATGAAATGGAAATTCCAGTCCCAGGTAAAGGATCCCTCCCTAGAAATTTTGGTCGGGTAGCCCCAGAGGCCACCGTAACATTACAGGCTAATGCCAGAGGGCCCTTGGGTCGCAGGACACTGAGAAATCACGCTAGATCAGTGCTGGAAGTTTCTCAGTGCCTGCAGTCTAGCTATCATGGTGCTGGGGATTGTGATACAAGCAACTGAGGGATGGGGGCAGTCATCAATGTTCCTACCCAGCTATAGACCCCAGGAACCGCCACAGTTACCTGGCTGGCAAGATATACCCACTGGTGGGACAGTAGTGTGCCAATTCTGGGAGTAACCAAGCACTTTCTGATTAGATGGGATGCCTGCTCCACAGCACAGAACTCATTCCTACTATGCTAAACCTGGCCAAGAACCAGCAGAGGAGATCATAGGCCCTGGTGGGGGAGGGTCCTACCACCGTTGTTTTTGCTAAACTGATACCTTGTTTGTAAGCCTTAGTCTCTTCTGGAGTATTTATACATGAAGCCCTATCTCTTACTTGTTCGGTACAGGAATCTCTCAAAGTTGAACAAGGAATGTTCTAACATCAGTGAGAGAAGAGAGCACTTAGGAGATCAAAAAAAATCCTCCCTGGTCATAGCTCAGATTCAAAACCAGCATATTTTATCTATGAGCCACTTTACTCATACTAAGTCTTACTTCTAAAGTGCCCAACATTACGCCGTTCCCTGCTCATATCCCTGGGTTTCTTAATGATCAGGAACAGTGCAGCAAGACTAAGGAAGTAACAAGAGGGGGTGCTTGCTGCTCAGTGACGAGGACCCAAGTGCAACCAACGGGCACATGCCTAAAATGCCAGCCTGCCTGCTCCAAGAGGGGCAAGGACAGGAGGATTACCAGGACTCCAGCCTACCCAAAAAAAAACCGCAAGTCTCAGACTCAGGGAGAGACCCTGCCTCAAATGAATGCGTGGAGTGATAGAAGACACTGGCACCCTCTTCTGGCCTCTGTTTGCATACACACACACACACACACACACACACACACACACACACACACACACACACATTCTAACAGACATGCACACACACACTCAAATAAGTCAATAAAAAATAACAATCACCAACCAAAGACTAACAATGAGAAGAAGTCAACTCAAGGAAGCAACAGTGAAGACAGAAATTCTCCATAAACAGTAGCAAACCCTCACTGACAGTCAAAATCTCTGTGACTTAACGTCATGAAGTTGTTTTCGCCTTTTTATTCAAGAGGGATGTTAACAGAAACGCTTCTAATTTTTAGAAATGGCTCTCTGGCACTAATCTAGCTGGAATAAGGCAAATTCTAGATTCAGAGAGACACCCCCAACCTCAGAGGAGTGAGGCCGAGACAGAGAGCAACGATGATATTTCACGTGCTTCTTAAATCTAGGCTGGCAATTTGGCTCAGCAGGTATAATCATGGCTACCTGAGTTTGATCCCTTGCAACCCAAAGAGTGGAGAGAACTGACTCCTGCAAGCTGACCTGTGATCTCCACGACAGGCTGCTGCATGCACACGCTCAACTCATAAACAGAAAATAAACGCAATACAAATTTTAAATAAAATAAATAAACGGCAGATTAAGCATTGGCACCTAGAGGTCTGAAGTCATGTGTTTGTGGATACAGCATATTCTTTGCCTATCATGTTGCCTCTCTTTGGAAACTTTGTTCCACTTCACAGAGTGGTGGGAAAGGCGGGGGAGGGGTGAGGGAGGAGTCCTTGAGAATGTCCATAGTTAGAAAAACTCGGTTTTATATTCGGGAGTGGTCAAATAACTAAGAAACGGCAGTAGATGGAAATTACTTTTAGACTCTCAGGGAGGTTGAAGTAACACAAAAAAGTACTGTGCAGGAGGCACAAGCAGTCATAACCCTGACTCACCCAAAAACATGACACCGATAGACACTTGGCCCAGTTTGCTTTCTGCGAAACATTCCGAACAAAAGCAATTTGGGGGAGGAAAGGTTTGGGTGGCTCACACTGGGGTTAGTCAAACTGGGAACTCAAGACAGTAACCTAGAGACTTTAAAAACTGAGGCAGAGACCGTGGACCATGGCTCCTTATTGGCATGCTTGCTTTTATGGCTTTGTTCAGCTTGTTTTCTTTTCTTTTCTTTTTTTTTTCTTTTTTTGGTTTTTCGAGACAGGGTTCTCTGTGTAGTTTTAGTGCCTGTCCTCGATCTCACTCTGTAGACCAGGTTGGCCTCGAACTCACAGAGATCCGCCTGCCTCAGCCTCCGGTTTAGTGCGCCACCACCGAAGGGCTCAGCTTGTTTTCTTACACAACTCAGGATCACCTGCCCACAGCGGGCTTGCCACATCAATCATTAAAGAAGGAAATGCCTCATTAATTCGCCCACATGCTGCTCAGATGGAGGCAATTCCCTAATTAAGGTTCCCCTCTTCCCAAGTGACTTTAGTTTGTGTCAAACTGACAGAAACTAAACCACTCAATCCCACTTTCACGTGGAAGCGTTCAGAACTTCCTGCTAACGCAGCCACGCCCATCTGCACAGCATTCCCACCAACTAGGAGGCATTAAAAATGGAGAGACTATTGCCCATCTTTTAACTTATCACATACCGCTCTCTATACCGGGGTGGCTGGCTATCTTCCTTCTTGGAAACAGCAGTTTTGCCACAATTAATTTTGAAACGTGTCTCTTGATATTTGATATAGAATGGTAGTAGACACCAGTACAGCAATGAAAACGCACATGCATACACAGAAAAGCAAATTATAGAAAAGAAATGCTTAAGATCTTACGGACTTTATATCTTAATTCAGTCTTTTCCATGGAGGTAATGAGTACTTCGAATTTGGAACCTGGGTGATAACCTTGCATTCCCAGTTGCCGTGTGACCTTGGTATTTGATTTTTTTTTTTTTAAAGAGGCTCAATTTCCCCGTTTGTAATTGTTGGCTTCAAAGGCAGTTTATATTATCTAGTCTAACTTCGGAAATATATACCCATGAATATTAAACGAAGGAAATGCTAATTTGGCACTGATGAGGCTTTTCACACTTTCTTTTAAAAAAAAAAATTCCTTTCCATACCTGGCCTTATTCAATACATCTTTCACTGCCTGGGACATGTTTAGCACTGCAGCTACGGGGTGTGTGTGTGTGTGTGTGTGTGTGTGTGTGTGTGTGTGTGTGTGTGTGTGTGTGTGTGCGCGCGCGCGCGTGTGTTTGTGTGTTTGCGCGCGCCACACACAGGAGGCGTCACAAAGAGCCTAAGAAAGGTACGAAAAGGTAGGAAAGGTCCCTCCCGGCAGCAAGAACGGGGGGAAAAAAAAAGGGAGGCACCTGGGAAGGGCACTGCGTCCAAACCTTTGGTTTCAGCGCGGTCTTTTGTGCCAACAAGTCAGTGAGTGGGCTTGGGCTCTGCGGCTGGAAAAAAAAAAGCCCCAAGTCGCGGAACCGCGCGCTCTCTGCCATCTCTCAGCCGGCCCCGCCCTCCAGCGGGCAGTGAACCCGCAAAAAATTGGGTTTGGAGGCGGCGGAGGCAAGAGAGGGGCCGGCCGGGCAAGGAGAGCCAGGCCAGGGAGAGAAAGCGCCGTGCCGCGCCCGGCGGGAACCGTGCAAACACAGAGGTCCCGGGCCATCGGTGCCCAGGCGCCAGCGCTGGCGGCGGCGGCGGCGGCGGCGGCGGGACCACACCGGGGAGGGGGGGGTACGCAGGGGCGAGCTGGAGGGAACCGAGGCGGCCCGCAGAGCGCAGGCGCGCGGCCCGTCCGCGCTCTCCCGGGCGCCCGAGCCACGCCCCCCCCTCGCTCCCCCCCCCGCCCTCGCGTCCCATTTGGTACGGGCCTGCCGGCGGGGCGGGGCCGCGGACGCCATTCCCACAATGCTCCGGGGCGTGCCGCCGCCGCCGTCGCTGCCGCCTCCGCTGCCGCTGGTGGAAGAAGATGGCGGAAGGCGGAGCGGCGGACCTGGACACCCAGCGTTCTGACATCGCGACGCTGCTCAAAACCTCGCTCCGGAAAGGGGACACCTGGTAAGGAGCCGGGTCGCGGAGGCCGCGGTGGCCCGCGGCGGGCCGGAGAGCTTGGGGCGGGAGCCGCGGGGCTGGTGGTGTCTCCGGCTGGTTTGGGTGACAGGTGCGGACAGGTCCGGCGGCGGCGGCAGTGGCGGTGGCGGCGGCCGCCCGGGCAGCAGATTTGTGTTTTTTTTTGGGGGGGGGAGGGAGGAGGCGGGGGAGGGCAAAGGTTGAGACCGGGGCTCGCGGAGGGCCGGGGCTCGCGGTGGGGCGGTGCGCGCCCGGAGCTGTGCGGAAGCGGCGGCCGGGGCTCTGTGCGGCTTCCCGGTCCTCCTCCCTCTGGCGGAGCCGCTCCCACCTCGGGCCTTCGCAGCGATCGGGTGCAGCAGTCGTTCGGCGTGAGTCCGCCACTGGGTGGTGGTGGTGGTGGTTGTTTGACAGATCCCGGTCCCGCCGCTCCACCACCTCTCTGGGCCGCTCTTCTCCGGTTTATTCCTTTGGCCGGCATTGTCGGTCCTTCCTCCCCCCCCCCCCCCCTCCCCAAGTTCCCCCATGCTTGGGGTTCTTGGAGTCTTTCCGGGACTCAGGCTTCGGGATGTTGGCGGCGGGTACCCCACACAGGTGGTCCGTGTCAGGGATCCACTTCACGGGAGGACCCCCACCCCCCCACCCCCCTACCCCCCTCATTTCCACTTCCTTGTCCAAGGGAGGGAGCGTTGTAGGGACCTTGGGTTTAGGAGAGACACCACGTGGTCCTGGGCTTGATAGAAGCCGGCAGCGTTTCTGTTGAGAAGTGCAGCCCTTCGCCCCGGTTTGGGTGGCAGAGCGTAGGCCTGCAAAATAAAAAAAAGTAGGTAAGTCCTAAGAAGCTTGCTAGTATTCAAACTTGAGGAAGCATGTAGGAATGTTAATACTTGTCAAGCCAGAGCAGTTGAATAATTTAAATAACGTGGAGATGTCATATGAAGGGAAAGTACTGTTTTAGGGGAAGGGCAGTGTGCCTGTTTGTTATTTTTTTTTTTTAAGTTACTTTCCCTTCCCCCTGTCGCCATACCAGTGGTTTATAGCTTCCCCAAGTGTTTGTTCAGGTACTCCAGTGTGGCTTAGTGGAAGGAGACTTAGATCTGATTTATTTCACAGTTCCACCTTTTTTTTTTTTTTTTTTTTACCTTGCGGTGTGACTTTGAAGCAAATTCATTTTAGCCGTTGCACCTCCGTACCCACCTGTTAAGTGGACAGTAACAATTTTATTGTGTTTGTTCTATATTGATTCAGTTATATTTTCTGAACTATCTGGTACTCACAAAATACTTATGTTTTAGTACTCTTTATTTTCTCCCATTAATCCATTACTAACATGCTATGGGATTGAAAGCGTTTTCAAGTAAGCGAATAGGTGACAGTTTGGAGACCCGAATTTGAGTACTTTGATCTTAGTTTGCAAGGCTGCATAGAGTTTCTGTAATTAAGACCCTTAATGGTTTGAAACACTTGTTGCATTACAGCAAACAGTATGAGCTTTCAGTGGCTTAAGTCATTATTGCTTATATGCTAATGTTTCTACCACGTTTATTACTGTGTAGAAATCGGGTATTCCCTAGAACATCTGTGTTTTACTTGGCCTGTGAAGTCTTAAAGATAAATTCAAGCATGTTCTCTCGTATATTGAAAAACATTTTTTTAAAAACAAATTTACTCATTCATTGCTTCATACAAATACAAATGTGGCAATCTATAAAATAGAAATCTACATATTTAAAGTGTAGATATTTTTCTCTTTAATGTTTCTGTGTGCTGAGTAATATCCTGTATAATTGGTGTTGACGCTGCAGTATGTTTTAAGAAATAAGTGTATTGTGGACATTAAACATTTTATAAAGTTGGCTACTTTTTAAGCGAGTGTATTTTTACTTCTTGACACAGTTACTGTAAGCTATGTTAAAACGTAAAAGTTAAGTTCATATTGAGTTATTACAGTGCTTTCATTTCGAAAAGGAAACTGAAGGCCAGTTTTTGGGCAGCAGCTAAATGTGGAAGTTTCACCTTCCTGTTAATTTTCTCTTTTGTGTAAATCAGTGGTTCTTAACCTTCCTAACATTTCCACCCTTTAATACAGTTCCCCATGTTGTGGTGACCCCCAGCCATAAAATTATTTTTGCTGCTACTTCATAACTGTAATTTTACTAGTTACGGTAGTCTTAGGTGATCAACCCAAGGTTGGGCTGCTCTGGGGGCCCCGACCCACAGGTTGAGAACCATTGGCATAAACTGAGGAAAAATGCATGCACAACATGATAGTAGGAATTTGCAGAAACCATTTTGATGCATGAATCAGTTCATGTGTAAATTGGGAGGTGACCACCCCCTACCCCCACCCACCCACCCCCGCAAGAAACAGTGTGGAACAAAAGTGTGGTTCAGAGTCTTAAGGAGAGTAATTTGGAAAGTACAATTTAATAATGGACTTATAAGTTCTAAATTGATAGGAACGTTTAATTGATAATTTAGTTGTTGAGTTTGTTTTGAAACTTAATAATTTTCTTTTAATACTTGAAAAAAAAAACAACGTTCAGATTGGTGATTACCTTTTCTGGGTTATTTAGGCAAACCCTGTCATTTTGTAGCTGGCCATACGCAGATGAAACAATGTTTGGGCGCTTACATATGATCGTCTATGAAAAACTGATTGCTGATTGGGCGACTAAGAAAAACAAAAGGATAGGTTTACCATAATCTTGAACTTAGTACAGATTTTTGAAATTATAGTCAGATGTGTTAAATTTCAGCAATTAGCTCTTGAGCACTTTGCGAATGGGAGTTTCTTATAATGGTGACTGACTCAAATACCAAGGCAAATAAAAAGATTTGATTCTGCCTGAATACCAGTTTGTTTATTTGTAAAGTGAGGGATTTTTACAGCAAATGGAATATACAAGTCTGAGATGAAAAGAAACTTTTTTTTCTAATTGGTACTATATTTGTAATAAGAAGTTGATTAACATTGATACTAGGGTTATACCTATAAAAAGAGATAGCAAAGTGACAGTCATCTGCATAAGGGATAGAACACTTGTGTCATATATGTTAATCTCTGTTTCAGTTCTGACAAGACATTCAGAAGACCATGAACAAAGTTAAATTAGAATTTAGGAATTACAGAAAAAGAATTGAAAAACTAAAGTTTAACTTAGGATAAATTAAAGACACCTTTAAGATACACGTGGGGGCGGGATTCCTGGTAAGATTAAAAGAAAAGTGCTTAATTTTCATGCTTAATTACTTATAAGCTCTTTAGGAACCTAAGGAATGGTAGTTGAATGAAGTACAAGAAAAGTTATGGGTTGTAAAATGTTCCTTTTTGAGATTTTTTTTCAAAATGAACCTGTTATGAATAGATGTGTAAAGTTTTACTGAAATGTATCTGCCAGTCATTTTCAGTAATTTCTGTGTTGTGTTTATTAGTAATGTGTAGTTAGCCAGATTAGCCATGTTGTGTTTATTAGTAATGTGTAGTTAACCAGATTAGCCGTGTTGCTTGTTTGTGTAAGCCTAGTGGGTTTAAGTAACTTGGTGTGTCGTCATTTAGTATGTCGTAGTTTTGTTTCAATACGCTTTCAAAGAATCTGATCAGTGAGGTTTGGACCAGAGACATTGGTTCCCGTTGAGAGCTTCCCTCCCCTCCCTGTTGTCTTACCTAGGAACCTTTGGGGCTTTCTTTGATTGTTTGGGTTTTGAATGAGAACTTTGACGCTTACAAGATGATCTGACAGCCATTCAAAGAAATGTGCTCAGTTAGCAAAAAAGACACCATTGACATAAATTCCCAAGTGTTTACTTACAAAAGAAGTTTGGTGTTTGCCACCAAGTGGGGCATATGTTATGTCACTTACAGGAAATGAAAATAGAAAGCAAAACTTTGGAGATATTGGCATATTAGTAAAAATTAAATAGAAAGTAATCACATTAAAGCATAGTCTTACTTTAGATGTTTAAAATAGTAGAAAAGCAAGTTTACTTAGTTTAACTCGTCATTACAAGCTTGCTAGTGGGTCAAAGGTTAATGAGTTCTTTTTTGGCCAAAATCTAGAGGTACTCACTGATTTAATTTATTTCATGACATCCAGGCTTTTTGTTTCCTCCAAATTATACAATTTCCCCATTGGTACATTTAAAATATGATTTTTTACAAAGTGGTTTGTGGCGGTTATTATTCTTGCTTGTATAAGTATAATAAGAAAAATCAGCTTGTGGAGCCATAGCCTACGGTTTTACATTTCAAAACACGAACTGCCCAGGTGCTGTTCCAAGTGTATGTTGACTTAACTATTCATTGCTAAAATTCAAGGAACTGCTGCTGCTGTGCACATTTGACAAAATAGGAACCCTAAACTCAGAGACCTTCACATGACAGCTGGAATTTGACCATAGGTAGTTTGGAGCTGAGGTTCATGCCCTTAAATCGCTGTACTAAACTGCCTCTCATTTAAAATAGTTCTCATTTAAGGAAAAAAAAGAGACTTCTTTTCCTCTTTAGAGATCCCATTTTATATTTAGCAACAGAATTCTAGCATTTTATCCCACACTTGTCTCTTGTGGATGCTCCGTTTACATGTGATGGAGTGTGTAGGAAATCTTAGCGTCTTGCTTCTGGAAGTTAAATGATGACTACAGACCAATAGGCAGATAACCAGATATATAGAGCAATTGTCATTTTGATTGAACACTCTGGAGACAAGATTATCTATGATCATTACTATGTAGGCTTTTGAATTTTAATGATCAGTAATCATAAATTTAGAGTAATAAGGTCCATTCTCACTGTTTTACAGAAATATCACAACAAACATGGTAATAAGTTCTTGTAGTGTAGGGTATTTTAGGATTCTATCCGTATTTTAAAAGCATTTGTGTATTGCCACAGACACATGAAGTTCTTATGAACAGTCTAGCATTTTAAAAACATATACTTTAAATTTTAGGTACTGTTTTAATGAATTTGTAAAGTCAAAAAACATTTT